AAAGTTAAAAAGCATGGTTTTTATGCCGTGTGGAAAAAAAAAAAGGGGGGGGGGGGGAGGAAGGGAGATAGCTCAACTTATGATAATTATCTTGTTCGTTATAGTGAAAAGGGGTGAATAGAAGTTTCCAAATGAGGAGACTTGATTTATATAAATTCAGATTTCATTTTTGTCCTGTATTTTTTTGGAAACGTTCTGTCTACTTGGCCGTGTTTGAGAGGTTGAACACATGTGCAAATAAAAAACAAATGAAATGATATTATTGTTTTGGTGTTTATTTTTGAAGATGGTTCCACAATATTTAGATTTTACCATTCATCTCAGACTTTTATAAAGCTATCCTAGAAGTTGCAGTATGAACCCAACATTGGAGGTGTTTTGAGATATGGTAAGAGAATGGCTCTTCATTTCTGAGAATCACTACTTAAATGTACACAGGCTTCTTGGCATTTTTTTTGTTTTTACTGTATTCTGTCTTCAGCAAGAATAGTTTCATTGGCCAAATTGTTTTGTGCAGCTTGAGACGCTTTCTAATTATTGTAATATCATCACTTCTTGCCTAATTACTAATTGAAAAAACATTTCTTAAGCTGTATTTAGAAAGAACTCCCCCCACCTCCCAAATGAAAGGTCATGATCATTTGGTATTCATTTTCTAAACATCACCTGCTCTGTTTTTCACTGAACTGAATGTCAAGTCCAGATCCAGCAATCAAAATCTGTGCCTACTGACTTCCCTTTTTCCTTTCTGTCCTGAAAACCGCAGCAATTTTGGATGGCCTTCATGAATGCATGTGATGCAACCATGAAAAGATGAACACATATAGGTGACTTCTGATGGAGTGGGAATTCATTAGGTATAGGGTGATGTCTGTTGATCTAAAGGTTTATTTTGTGAAGAAGGTGAATATCCTTTGAGGAAGTTTCATAGTTAAGAATCATTTCAGAACTTTTTTATGTGCTGAAAGACAGTACAAGCTAGAGATCTCAGAACACACATCCACTGTTCTTAAATTGCAGGTCAGGCACTATTTCTGAGAATATACACTTGATAAAGTCAATGCAAGGAGCTGTAGGCACAGGAATGATGTTGTCAATGATTAGGAAGGGCTTGGGGAGAGCTTATCTGGATAGCAGTCACTACAGGGCCAATGTAAGGCCATATACTTCTAGATGCACAGGATTTACAAGACTCCTCCCTTATGGTGTGAAAGTAGTTAATTTAAGAATCCAGTTGTTGCTACTTAGATCTTCCATGGTGAAGAAGATAAAACAGTATTCTTAGGTTTGTGTTGAACTCTGTAAGACTGTTTCAGGATCTTGTGGGTGGAAAATTTATAGATCATTATCCATTATCTGTTGTGGCTCTTTGTATGCAAATAATAACTTATTAATTGCTAAGCAAAAGAATGAGTGGCAGCACAGTATGGACTGTTAGTACAATTTACAGGTAAAACTTAGTATTTCCATCTGAAGATCAAGAAAAGATGTTGAGGCATTGCATTGCTCTTGCTAATTGAAGAAGAAAAAGCTTTGGAATGGACCTGGGAATTAGAACCCCAGCTGCTGTCATGGATGAAGAAGTCAGGCCTTCAAGTGATGCAGGGATTAAAATGTCAGGAAAAGGAAACTACAGCATCAGCACAAGTAGAAAATAGGCAGGGCTATTTAGCAAACAGAAAAGACATGACATAACTATGTGGAGAGGAATCTTGTTGCTGATAGTTATTGCATGAGGTGGAAAGGTAGTAGAAAGGTTGGCAAGCAAAAACAAAGCAGAAAGTGCAAAAAATGACTCTGTATGGCGGTTAAGACTGTAGTTTGTTCATGAACGTATTTTTCAATAAAATCTTCTCTCATAACAATAACGGAATTTTGTGACATGCATGGGCAATACGAGTATCCATGATCACTGCTCATGCTGAATGAATAAATTCCCTTCCCGCTGATAGCTCCCAGGGCCTTGCATGGGAAAAGAGGGTAAGTGCATCTCACGTCCCTGATGTTGTAAATGGAGAATGAATGGGACATAACTAGGAAATAAAATGAGCTGGACATTAACTGAAGGACTAACAGCTCAAAAATAGAGTTGTTATTTATTACTGTGGAGGTCACAAATCCTTTTCTTTCAATATCTGGTTATTTTCTAAGGATAGAAGGAGGTGGCAGGGGGAGACAAAATTCTATATTTGCACCTGAATATTTTTGAATTATTTGATGAATAAGGTGAACAAAGGGGGTGGGGGGTGAGGGGACGGGGGAGACACATAAGGCTTCATGTGCCTGGAGGTTCAGGTCAAGAGTTGATGCCACTTAACATCCAGGACAGTGTATTTACCTTTTAGTGCCTTGAAAGTTGGTTTACTGAAGACTTTAGTTGGGAAAGGGATCATTAAGACAGCTCATTGCAGTCTGAATGTCAGAGT